AGATTTAACTGCAGTAATTATTTCCTAGAAATAGAGAAATTAATCTGAAATGTTTGAACAATGAATTTTCTGATGTTGGCTTATGAAAAATACTTCTTAATGAATTCTAGTTACCTTAACATGTAAAAGGAAAGGATATTAACTTAAAACTCAGTGTTTTGGTTTTTCAGTCTAGCAAGAGAGACAAAATGTTTTTCCTTTTGAGTGTCCAGAATTTACTTTTTGTAGGTCAGCCTCAGAATAATTTTTCTCTTGTGCTGTGGGTATGATAGCACAGGCCATGAAGTGTCAAATGCAGCTTCCAGGTCCTTTTTCAGACTTGATGCTGTGCAAGACTGTCACAGGATCAAGACTTCTGTGGTATAAAAATGAACCCCCCCTTCCTCTTAAAAGCAGATTTAACTTCTTTTTTCTTCCCACGAACAGTTGAAGTGATAGAGGATGACAGAGTACAGATACTGCAGTCACTAACATCTGCAGAAGCAGAGGTGAGTCACAATTTGGTAAATAACTATTGTGAAATGGGATGATTGTTTAAACCAATAAAAAGACTGACAGTTCAATGACTTTTTTCCCCTTTTCTTGCAGGGTCATCTGTTTAAACAGGTTGTGTTAACCATCTATATCTGTGGAAACATAATATTCCTTGTTGCCTTTCTGATAGCAGTCAACAAAATATGAAATAAGTAATGGAAAATTTTGTGATGAAATACTATGCAGTCGAAAAATATGAAAAAAAATGGTTTCTATTACAACTTTTCTCTCAACACCTCCCTGGAGATGTAATGGAAGAAAAATAGCACGTGTGTCATGCTTGGTGTTAGGGAGATCTGGAATTCAAATCTATAGAAGGATGCTGCAGTCCTACAAAAGCTGTCTTCTGGCAGGAACTTCTAATGGGAATTTTTGCCTGAGTAAGGAATAAAGTCTTTTTTTTTTTTTTTTTTTAAGCACAGTAGTTAACTTGATTGAAGCTTATAGTTTAAGAAGACTGAGAAGATGTGCTGAAAGTGTTTTGATCATCAATTCCCTAAACCTTTTGTAAATATCACTGGGGAATCTGGAAAGATTGATCTGGATTTTGTCATATCTGTTCACTGTGTGGTATGTGATGTGACTACTTCCTGCTTGTGATACTTTTGTGCATTAAAACCCCCCCAAAACCAAAATACAGAACTTAGTGAAAAAATGTCACAAACTCAGATTGAGGCATGAACTAAATACACAACAGTTAAAAGCAAGAAATGCACTCTCTGCTCTAAGAGCAGTATACTTACATGACAAACATAGCAGCGTGGGAACTTCAGTCCTTTAGTAAAACTACCATCTGCCTCACTCAAAATACTTGTCCATCTCACCCCCCTCAGTGCTTCTAAACCATAAAGAGAAAGCATTTGCAACATAAGGGTATTAAACCCAGTTGTACTTATCCAAAACTCAAACAGGAAGAACCTCTCTTTGTGTATGGATTTCTGTGTTTTATTGTTCCTGGTTGCTTGTGGCTTCTGAATTACTTTTCTGTGTGAGTACGATGCCAATTGATGCTTAAATGGAAGTGAAAATGCTTGCTCAGGAATGCTGCAGTTGTATTTGTGCTATTGAGTGAAATGTGCATTAGGAGTTAGGATGACTTCAGGAAAAGCAGCTTCTGTTAATGTTAAGTGAGAGTCGCTTAGCTGCCATATCTAAAGACGAAACTAAAAGAATTCTATAACGATTCTATTTTTTAAGAGTATGGGAGGGCTTTTTTTTAGTCAAAAGTTTTATCTAAGTATATGAACTAGGTACAGAGAACAAAAAGAGACTATATTGTTTAACCTTTTTGGTTCATGGTGTGCCTAAGTATGGAAGGACACTCCTAAAATGGCATCTTGGAAACAAGCCCTTAATATGCTATGCAGTACAGTACTTTACGTTTGTTTTATGGCCCTGAACAGCTTGTTTCCACGTGTCTTCATTTTTGGTACTGGAAATTATCGATTTTCAGTTGCAACACTTCAAAATATATTTTCAGTCCAGGGCTACTAAGCTAGCTGGGAATGAAGGTGTTGAAGTATTGGATAGACTAGTAAATAGTAAGGCCTGGCCTGGTATAGACTTTTACAGCAACATCTCTCTACTACCTGATGGACAGCTCTAAAATACTTGTAGGTGCGGGTCAGATGGTGGTTCTCTCCATTTACTAAAGCTGTCTATTTCTGTATCTTCCTCCATCTCCCCAAGTCCACAGTGCAGGGAACAATATTCAGAAAACTACAAGCTTGTTTGTAGTTGGTGATCTTCTTTTTGGCTGCTCAAGTGTATGATTTATCTATGAGGGCATTTATAGAGCTGAGATTAATCCCTTCATAAGCAGCAGCTGACTGTGAGTGAGTATAACTTGAATCATCCACCTTCCTCCTGGAAGCTGAAAAAGTCATGTCAATCCGATTGGGAAAGGGGGACTAAGAAGAAATGAGTCACAACTCAGGCTGAAGGGCAAGAAGCAGAGGGCCAGTTGTGTGGGTTTGTGGGTTTTTTAGGGAACTCTGATCTCAAAAGCCTGGGAATCTCAGGCCCGTCTAGTGCTACAGTTTTTTGGGACTCCTTCATATATCATAAGTGTACAGAAGACAAATCACTCAACATAGACACGACTGATGGCTTTTTAAATTAAAGTCAATGGCAGTTCTTTCTGTAATACAAGAGCTGTACTGTGTGTTGTTTCATTTACGTGTGACAGTGAACACGTAAACAGGGGTTTTAAAACTTGAATGTAAATATCTCAGTAGAAGGTTTTGTCCTTTTTAGTAATGTGAAAACACTGTCAAATAGAAACTAGAAAAGTCTTGCCTGGGAGCAAAATGGATTGTCTGGTTTTTGTCAATGTTGTTTTATAAATTAAAGCTATCTAAATCCTTCTTGGACAAACTAGTATTGAAATTGAATATTAAAATAATTTCGCTTCATAATGCAGTTTCTTTTCCTCAAGAATAAGAAAAATTCCTTGTTCGACATCTAATACAACTTTACAATTGGCAAATTTGTCAGTTGCTCTGGAGAACTTGTTTCTTCCCATTGCTTGTAATATTGTGCAGTTTTTTACATGAGCCCTTATGTGCAGTATTGTAACTTAATTGATTGAAAGACTTGCTAATTTTATGTAATGTCTGTTCACATAACCACCTCTGCCCTTTTCCTGCATGACTGATAAGAGGATGGAAAATGTCATTGTATTTAGTGACTTCCAAAATTTCTGGTATACTCCTTTGAAAAAAAAAAAAAGTCCATGGAAGTGTTTGATATTGGCAGGAAAAGAGGTGACAGGTAGTCTTGTTGTAGAGACACTAGTGGCTGCTATATTTTTTTTTTTTCCTTGAATTATACAATATTGCATAGAAGAAAACTCCCATTGCTGTGCTTCCTAAAAGAGTCACACTGAGGTCAAGAAAACTTCTTTGCCAGAAGAGTTGAGGTTTCAGTGTTTTCTTTTCATCTCAAACTTGTGGCGACAAATTAAAGTTAGCATATTTCTGTTTGGCTTCTTCTAGACAGGCAAACACTCCTAGCCAAGTAGAAATTTGTGATCAGTCTCACAACAAGTAATTTACTGTTTTGATTGAGTTGTTAGGTGCAGCCTCCACATACTTGTCCTCTGCTCTTGGCTTAGCTACAAATCATGTTCCGTGCCTATGCTTTGAAGGAAAATTAATTGATGCACAAAGCTCAAGTGCAATAGAATTCATTGCTGCTGTGCTTTACTTGGTGTAAGTTTTTGTTAGTTGACATTTCAGGCTGCAGAATGAGCCAGAAAAAGGTATGCTTCATTTCTCCTCCTTACACTGAGCTCTAAATTGTTTCCTGTTTTGTTAAAAATCACAAGATGGGGAGTAATTATGTTCAGAGTAATTACGGCCATGTTTTTCATTTACCTAGGGAAGGTTAGAGAGAGATCGCCTGCCTTGTGTTTTCCATCCCGGTTTGTAACACTGCGTGGCGCCCTTGTTCAGATAACAGTGCTTTTCATTTACTTGCTTTCTTTAAACTTGAGACGTGTAAAGGCTGTCCAAAATAGAAAGTATTCCTAAATGAACTAATTGGGAAGAATCTCAAGCTTTATTAAGAAACTCCAATCTTTAAATTCAAGTCAGCTCATACGGATGGACATTTTGGAATGGATGTTTGCTTGATACCTGTGCTTAAGCTTTTGATTGAGCAAGTATGGACTGTTTTCTTTTGTCATGCATGTAAATTGTGCTCTGTGTGGGAACATCCCTTTCCAAATAAGATAAATGGCAGTTACTTAGGAAAAACTGCAATATTCTGTATTTCAATGCAGAAGTTAATATCTCAGTGATTTTAGACGTTTGGTACAGACTGAAGGAAGAGTCCAAGTGAGTAGAGGGATGGTTAACAGGGATATTCTGCTAGTATGTCTGAATTCTTTGCTCACATCAATCTGATCCCAGCTTCTCTAAGGGGTGTGCATGAAGGGAAGAACTGTTCCGTATACCTGAGGAAGTGGCACAGCACAATCAGCACAGGACAAGTTCTTCAGAACGTGCTTCTCTTACGTTACTTTTCATGTATTGGTAGTGAATTTCACTTGTAGATTACTATGAATTCCCTATTGTGAAGTCTCTTTTCAGTCTGCTTTCCTTTGAACTGCTTTGACTAGTACTATGATGGTTGTTGCATTTTTGCTCTCTTTTCTGCAGCTTTTAAGTTTAATAGCACAGATTGTAGGGAAAGGCATAGGCGTCTGCTGCTGTTACAAAAACTGCTCGTGACTAAATCATATTGCTTTCCTACTCTCTCACTTTTTGGTGTATCCTGTTAAGAGTTCACAAAATCACTGGAATATTCGGAGTTGGAAGGGACCCACAAGGATCATCAAGTCCAACTCTTTGGTTGAGGATGAAGCTCTCTGGTCTCACAACCAGCAAATAACAGAAGAAGCATAAGAAAAAAACCCCACTGTAAAACAACAACAACAAAAAAACCCCAGGGTAGACATAGAGGAAGTGTACTACAATTAAATTTATTTGTTCTTATTTACTATTTCACTCTCCAGGTAACCATTTCTGACAAGTCTTAAAATTTGAGATTATTACAATCTGCAGACTGGGAGCCACCAAGTGTTTAGAGGCTACAAGTCAGCCAATTACTACTATCATGCCTCAGTATGAGGTAGTAGCTTCAGTTTCCTGCTTTGAAAAGAAGACCAGTGAAAAAGTTAGTGGTTTTTTGCTGGTGCACAACTTGAGTCAGCTATGATAGAATAACACAACCTGAGCTTTATCTGCTTAGTGTTTCAAACCAGGCTAAGGCCTAGCAAATTAAAGCTATTGTACTGATTTGAATATAAGGCTGTATGTAGTGTGCTATGAGGCACTTTTCCCCTCCCAAAACTATGTACTGGAAAAATCTGCCCTGGATGTGATTTTTCTAGTTATGATTGTACCTTATGGCTGCTTCTAGGGTCCTTAGCTCCTCCCTTATGAAAAGAATTAACTTGTTCCTTGGTGGCAGCCTTGGACCTTGCTGGAGAACTGTGCCCAGCAGTGGCTGCAGCTATAACAGACCTTCTGTTGGGGCTGCAGGACAAGCCATTGGCAACTCTATATTTTTGATGGGAGGCTTGCTTAATTTTAGCTCCCCGGCCAACTGAAACCTGAATACCAAACACTATGGTTGGTTTTCTTTTTTGTGGTTTCTGTTTGTTTGTTTGTTTTGATGAACAGGCACTGCCTGTCTGGCGACCAGTTTCCTGGAAAAGCAGGACTGTCTGAGCAAGCTGGGAGGTGAAACTATGCTCAGAAGGTCAGGCTGTTTGTAGTACTATATACAGGATTGATCTATGGGGTTGTGAGTGGGCAGCACATATGTGACACAGGGAAGGGAGCAAGGTTTGAGGATGGCTACACTGTTGTATGTAACATAGGAGGGTGAATGGACTGTGGAGCTCTAGAAGGTGGCTAAATATTTAGATATGCTGACAACTATTTTTGGTTTGTTCTGCTGTCACTTAAAAAGGAATGCTTTAAATTTCAGCCAAGGTAGCATGATTGGAAAGCAGTTTTTATATTTACATTTGTTCCAGATCTTCTCTTTCATGTTTAGCTTTTTATTAACCAGTGCTTTTAAAAAGAAAATGCTGGGATGGCATTTTTGGTTAAAATGGGATAGATCGGCACATCTTGATGTGAAGCAATGTCCCATGAAGTTCCATGGCAGTGGGTGTTTATCTGCTCTGTGTATATAGCAACAGCATATTCCTGATTGTGGGAACAGGTATGCACATGTCTTCATGCTTTATGTACGCTGCATTTATGGCCTTAGGTAACTTCCCACTACTTTTAACAAAAGCTAGGATGTGATTTGTGTGTATGTGGCAGTTGGTCAAATCTGAAAGTCTGTTAAAGTCCATTGGATTATGCAGAGGGCAAAATAGCCCATAAAACAGAGGGCAAAACAAGCATTATGATCCAGAAAAAGCATGTGGAAGAAAGTCTTCTTAGCTTTATTCTGCTTTGAGTAATAAATTTGACTTCCATGTCACTACAGCTGTTAAATCACTTTTTTCCCCAGCTTTGCCATTCTCATCCTCAGAGCTGAAAAACAAAAACCAAAGTCATTACATTTTAAGACTTTCTTTCTATTTCTGAAGGAAAAAGAAGAAAATCTCCCAATTTAGAAAAATGAAGAATACACATACCTCCGGTGGTTAATCCAGCAGAATAAGCATTGTTTTAGTGTTATAGAAAGAAATCAGTAGAAGGTGTTAGTTCTGGTAATTTTGCAATAAAGCAAGTATATTAAGCAATTACTCCATTATCGCTATTTGAAAATTAGTGCAGCTATCTTCTGTTTGTCTGTTACCTTCACTAACACATTGAACACAAATGGTATTGTCCTTGGCTGAATGCTGACAGATTAAAAGGATGCATGAATAATTAAGCAAACTTTGTTTAAACTAAACTCCTCAGTGGGAGCTGTAACTGTGTGGAGGCTTTTTCCTTTTCTCTTGATGTTCATAGCAAACTGTCTTTTCTCCTGGTGTTGAGTCAGAGTGGAGGTTAGTCATATTCCTGATTTCATCTGATGGAGTAACAGTATCTGTATAAACATTAGCATGGCTACTGCCTGCAACTGGGTATAATGTGGGTTAGTTTGAAAGTGACAGTGCAGGGCAAATGATTTAAGGTTATTTTTAGAACAGCAATATAATGCCGTTGTTTGATATGTAAGAGCCTCCCCCCCCCAGCACACAGTTGAGCTGAGAATGCAGTGGGAATAATCTCCAGTCCTCTGACCTGTTAGTTTGAAGAGTCACCCAAAATAGCCTGTCTCGTTCCTTCATCCTGCATATGTCTCTGTACTGAGACAGGGGGTCAAAGCAGCTGTTTGCTTGATTTATACATGTCAGCAAATGTCCAGCTTGAGTTATGTTTTGAATGCTGAAGTTGTTGCAAATCATAGAAGCATCTGAGTGTAACTTTATATCATAGGGCCAGTGATGTTAACCTTAGCTCTTACAAAGGCCCTGTAAGACTGTGTACTGCTTGCAGGCTGAGGAATTCTAAGGGATTCAAGTCCTGGTCCTGGTCTCTTTTTGTCTTACTCTATATATTACAGACACAGATGGCATGCATGAGTCTTCATTAAAAAGGATTTTTGTATGTTACTTTCTTCAATGCAAATGGAGCTGTCTCCTTTGTGTTGTTTGAAGGTTGCAAAGGTTCCAGTGGTAAGGAAACAATAGCTCATCTAGACTGCCAAAAGCCTTGGGCCTTTGTGCCCATGAGAGCCTGTTCCACACTGTCAGAAGGTTTTGCTGCTTATTCAGCTTTTGTTTTCCATTTCCTTATTCATTTTGCTCTGTCTAGCCTTTGTTCCCCCCAAGGACTCTTTATTTCCCTGATGAGTATTGAATCTTCAAAACATTTGCACTTGAATTAATTTGCCTGAAATTTAAAGAAGAAAATAAGCTCTACTAATGCAAAACACTGGTGTCGTAATTATAGCATTGTCATCCTTCTCTCTGTATGGTTTTTCTGAGGGCACATACTTTGAGATATTGGTCCCCCACCAAGCTTAGGGGGAAAGGAAAATTGTTCCTATATGGAAAGAGGTATGTCCTACATCTTTGTAAGTTTGGGGGCATGCCAAAAGCTCCTGATTTAGTCTGATATTTCTCTATACAGATTGGCACATGGAACAATTTCTCTACCTCCTAGTTGTCCTTGGCCATCCCTAATGTTTTCAGTAACTTGCTCTAAAGGTTCATTTCTTTCCCAAAGCAAGATCGTTACATAAGGGACCATCTTCCTTGTGTGTCCTGTGCTTCCTTGCTTTCCATTCTCTTTCAGAGAGTTCTCAGTGCTTGTTTGATGCTTAAATGCTGCATTTGCCTCCCAAAGCTCTAATTTCAGAGAGGATTTTTTTTTTCTGTTGTACAGTTTGTTGTTTTAGTGATGAGTTACCAAAAATAATTTTGACATCTCTTTTCACTGGTGATGTTTAGGGTAAACCTGCTAGGCTGGACATCAGCTTTGAAAACAATTCATTTCTCTAAGAAACAGCTCTGTGTAATACATTGTTTTAGACTGAGAGGCTTTCCTGGTTTTGTTTCCCTTTTAGAAGTCTCAGTAGGATTATGGGACTGCTTGGGAAAAATTGAGTCACTTCCTGGCTTTTTCCTCTGATCAAAAATGTCCTAGGGAGTGGCAATAAATAGGTGGAGGGGTAAAGAAGAATATGGCCTGGTTCCAAACTGTACTAGGCATTAAGACACTCTCTTGGAGGCAGTGCTGACTGGGAGAATTTTTGAGGCAGTTGCCCAACTGCTTTTAATTTAGTTGGGATATTTTTTTCCTAATTGGCTACTTTCTTATTGGTGGTTGAAATAGTTATAAGAAAATGAGTGAGACCCAATACTAATTTACATAAGATTCTCAAATGTCTTTGCTGGATTTACACTTAGCCCCTTTTCCTGAAAGTCAGTGTTGGTTTTCCATTAACCTCAAAAGAGAACTCAGATTGTTTGGGAAGCGTTCAGGTCGCAGGGCAAAATGTAGAAGTTTCAGATGCTTCTCTTGGGAGACAAAAATAAGCAGAGATGGTTACAGATAGAGGTGTTCAACTAACATCTCATGGTCTGTATATGGCCCACCTGAGTGGTGCTGCGATTTTATGGTTACTGCTTGAAAAACTCTTTCTCAGGTTCTGTTCAGGAGCACCCACTCAGCAGGCTGTGGGATGAAAAAACTGTTCAGTAGCAACCTGCTGGTGGGTCACTTCTCTGTCTGCCTATATATATATATATATGCGATGTGGGGGTTAAAGAGCTATCCCCAAATTATAATGGGCTGGAGCAGCTGCTGGAGGGGTTTATCTTGCCTGTACTAGCTTCACTTGCTGGCATAAGAGCTGCTGGCAGCAGCCCTTGGTATGGGAGGATACAGGGAATTATGCAGATGGCAGGATTGGTGCTTGAGAGAAGAAAAGGTCTATCAAGTGATAAAAAGGTGCGGTGACCTTATTGATCAGAAAGGCTGGGCAGCACTGCTGGAGTATTTCAAGCTGTTGAGTATGTGACTCCATGAGGTTGATACTTCGATAAGCTGAGAGCATTGTTTACTGAACAATCAGTGCCTACTGATGCAAAAATACTCAAAACTCCTCACATGATCCAATGATCCCCCTCTCTCTTGGCTTCACCTGTAGTGTAAAGAATTGCTGGGCTGTTAATACAGCTTTAGGCAGGGCCCAACCTTACACCTCTGTTGCCGAATTGCAGAAATACAGTCTGGAGGGAGAGCATGTGGGATCAAGATCCCTGATCTTCCCGTAATTCAAGCACAGTATTCTTTCTTTCCTTGATGTGGGATCTGACTACTGTCTGAAATCTGCTGCTCTGTAAGTATACTTAAATGCAGTTTAATAATAAGAAGAGCTTTCCATGATTCTGGAAGATTTTATCTATTGCTCTTTTAACTTTTATAATAAAAACTTTATAGAAAGAAATAGATATCTTTTGTATTAATAGAATATAAAAAGTATTCAAAAATAATACTATGGACTATTGGACTAACCACATGTAGTGATGAAAACTGTTTCATTCTCTTTATGAAGCTATAAAAATATCGAACTCAGGTTAATGAAAAAAGGTTAAAATTTGCATAAACACTGTCAAGACAATGTTGGCAATGCTGATTTCGGAAAAATACAAGGTAAAGCTGGTTATTAAGCTGTCTTTCTGATTTAAAGAGCAATTTGGATGATCTAGGAAGTAGTTGGGATGCAGACAGGCACAGAAACATTCCAGTGAGGAGGAAGCGATAAGTAGCAATGATGTTAGTTACCTGGTAGAAATGAAAACAAATTCTGCTAATTGAGGTAGCATTAATGGAACTTGAAAGAGAACCACTTTTAATCTTGGAAGGTTACAGAAATGGCTTTTCTGAGATACTTTATTTTCCAAATTTTGGTATGGTAGCTAGTGCATTACTAAAGACAAAATAATTCAGGAGTTCCAAAATGTAGATTGGCATTTCTTAACAAATAACAGCAAAGAAATGATTATTAGTAGCATATTAGTCTGTGAAACAATCCAAATAATATACTAAGTGAAACAGTTGCCAGTGGATAAGAGCAATATCAGTTTGCTACATGAGCAAACAGCAGTGACACGATTTTCCTTTTCTGTTACCTGTTAGTGAGGGATCTTCTGTACCGTCTCCAGACACCTGGCCATGAAGATGAGCATGGTGTGTTGGCGAGCTTAAGCATTCCTCTTGTTCTTGTAGGGAGATGGAATTTTTGTGGGGTACCTTGTTCAGGCTTGTGCCCAGACTGCTCACAGGGTTTGTCTGTGGGGCTTCTGTGATTTTCCTGCCTGGTGGCTGATAAACCTGACTGTAGTGGCCTATGGGATGATATGCTGGTTTCTCAGATTTGCTGTCATCTTCATCATCATCATCAATGATAACCAATTCTGCACGGATAACCCCATCATATCGTGACAGCTTTTGGTCTGCTTCTGCATCGTCATCATCAATGCGCTGATAACCCATGAAAACCATTGTTACTGGCTCAGAATCGTCCACATAACATGGCACAGCTTGGACAATGTTGTATCGAACATCTTCCTCCTCCTGAGGTGCAGGGGATGTTTCACTAAGATGGTGGGGACTTAAAAGCCTTGTCTCATTATGTCTTTCTCTTATGTTCTGGTAAGGTTTTAATTCCTCATGTCCAGCTTTTCTTTCTTCATTATTAATCATCCTGTTCTCAGTATCAGTGTGCACTTTCTTCTCTGAATGGGAAATTACTGGAGAGGGAGACTTTGACTGTATTACCTTTGGCAGATCAAGCCCATTCTCTTTATTTTGTTGCATAAAGGGCTCTGTTTTGGGGGAGAATTCTGTCTGATTGCTGAATCCATTCATCTCTCTTCTGTCAGTGTCTTCCCATTTTGGTCCAGGGACTAATTTGTCTTTCTGAGGAGTAACTGGCCTGCAAAATTTGTTTGCAAACACAGGCTCATGATACTCTGTGGGAGACTGGGAATTTTTTTCAGTTGCCTGCCGTAGCAGGTCCTCCACTTCAACAGGAGCAAGTTCATCCATGCCATTTTGTGTTGTGCTGCCATTTGAAGACACTGCATAGACTGACTTCCTGCCATCGTCGTAGACTTTAATTCCTGTCTCTTTAAACTCCTTTGATGGAAGAGGTATTGTTGATAACACTGTGTTTTCTCCTGTCTTCATGTCTTTTTCAACTTTAATTTCCATGGCAAACAATGCTGTTGAAAGAAACAAGTGCTTAAACTGATAATGCAGCAGCTACAAGAAATATAGAAGAGTTCTGACAGTGATAGAGAATGACTATTGGAATGAATTATCAAATACTTGATATTATCACATACACAACCAATATATTGGATTCTCATTTTGAATGTCCCCTGAAATCCTCTGGAAAAAAATACTTTCATTTGGATCTAACTCTGTGAGGAAAAATCAGCTGCTGAGGAGCCAGTTTTCATTACATGATAGACTGAGAAATCCAGATTTAACCTTGCCCCTGGTGTTGTGCTGAGCAATAACAGCTGAAAGGGATCAATGTACTGTGATGCTAAAGAGTCTTGGGCACTCTGAAGCTTAGGAGGCTTTTGTGGTAGTTGGGAAATAACCAGGCTACTGCTGGCTGCCCAACAGCTGTAAGTGTGGGTAGAAAATGTGAAATGTATGCTATGAAGGGAAGATGTATTTAAAATTTGGCCAGGCAAAGGAATGAAGTGCTGGAAAGAAGGGTCAGCGGTGAAAAGATTTATTCTCAGTGGCACATATCTGTGTCTCACCTCTCAGTTTTGATGACCTAACCAGTAACACAGCTTAAATGAGAACAGCAGTGTCTCATATCTGTAATGTTTACTCTTTGCTTAAGGTGTATTAGATTCAATTAATAGGAAGTTTTTGCACATATTGACACCTAGTTACTAGTAAGCAGTACCTTTTCTCTTTTCTTCATCATCAGTGGCAGCATGTGCTGTACTTCTCAGTGCGGAAGGCCTGAAGTGCTTGGGAAGGTCAGGTATGCTGGCATAGATATAGTCTGCTGACTCTGAGTAAAGAACATCCACAGATCCATAAAGCATTAGTATGTTTTAACTGGCTTCTACAAGAACCTTTCAAAAAATATTCTTTTAACTAAACGTACCTTTTTCAAATCCTGCTTTTTCAGTCTTCACAGACTAGGTGGGAAAGAGAACCGTTAAAAATAAATGCGATAATTAGTTTTAAGGTGTAATTAGACAGTGCTTAGGCTTCCCTGATAGTTTTACCCTTTTGAGTGCACAGCTTCATACAGAGAAGGGGCTAAAAGTGAAACATGATCAGTTGGAGCATGGCAAGGGAGAAAGTGAAATTTCTGTGATCTTTTTTGCCAATATGATTCCAAGTCATACAGGGAAGGACAAAATATTATGAAGAGTTAAACAGTAACTTAGCCTCCCACTGTGGCTCAACCTGGTTGGCTTCAAAGATTTTTCAAAGGTTACACTTTGGCTTTCCAGTTTTACTTATCTCCCTGAGTATCTTTAGAGAGTGTGTGTATACAAGAACAACTGGAGAACTGAAGTTTAGTTTCATCACTATATTTTTTGAGATGATTTTAAAATACTAAAATGATCTTTTGACAAAGACTCATGACTGATAGCATTAAGTTTTGTCTCATCACAACCTCTCAGGGGCTTAGGGGAAAGCATGATGCAGTTTAGCTGGGCACATCGCCTGAAGGAGTATGAAAACACCTGTGTCTGTACTTAGTCTGTACCTGTTATGTCTGTCTGTGGCCGAGATGCAAAGTTGCTGGTTGGTGTCAGTGGCAGTGCTATTTTTTGGCAATGTGCTATAGATGAGTAATGATAGGAATTGCTTCCCCACCCCCGTAAACAAGCAAATTGAGACATCTGGGCACTTAAACAATAGAATATCTTGGCCCCTCTTGTGACTACTGTCATTTTAGACAAAAGCTTATGACCACTTATGGGATCCAGCTAGTTCCCCTTTCCCTGGTTATGATGATGAATGAGTAATAAACTCTATTTCTGGAATAATTTGGAACTAACCTTTATTATGTCTTCTGTTGTTTTCTCAACAGACTTCAGTTTCTTTAAGATCGCTTCTTCCTTAGCTGAGACTTCCATTTCCTGTCTTTCCAGAGCCTCAATTTCCTTCTCCAGTCTGCAATCACAATTGCATTTGATTTAATATCAGAGAACAGCACTGCAGAGTTGATACATTGTGAATATGGACATCAGTAAAGCTGGCTTTACTTACTCTGAAAAATTTTGCTCTAATATGACATCAGCTTACAATTTCACATGCATTGGGAAATAAGTGTGAAATAGTATTTTCATTAAAAAACCCCAACAAAACAACAAACAAAACCTGCCATAGATTACTTCTGAGCCTACTTTGAAAAGAGTGACTGCAATTATCTTGTTTAGGGAAGGAATAGATAAGGAATATAGGCCCTGCACATAATTTCCTCATTTCTAAGCAAATTTTCTACACTGTCTCAAGAAATGTGATTTTTCTGTTGTAACTAAGATGTAGGAATCTAGTATTAGGAATCTAGTATACAGACACTGGAGTTATGATTTTGGCAGGTATACTGGTACAGATTATGAAAAGAAGCAAATTCTTTTGTTGCAAAAGAGAGTCAGGAGAATGTTCTTGTACCCAGTAGTACTTAAAGGGCTACAGTATATCACCTCATATGTATTTTATTTTTTGGAGCCAAACCATATTCTGGAGGATCCCCCCCTGAGAAAAGTTCCAGTCAGTCTATAATTAGAAGCTACAATTTCAGGAGAACCATGTCTATCAATGGAAATCAAATTGCATGTGTATTTATGAGATGTAGAACAGATATCATGTTTTGGTAAAAATAATAATGGTATTTGCAAGTACATGTAGATAAAACTACTCTTAACTAACTTTCTATTATGAAAATTAATACAGCTATACAGAATAATAGCAATGTGCTTTCACACTAACTTCATAACGGTGTGAATTTTGAAATGGAAGAAACCTGCTCAAAAGACTAAACTCTATTGTTTTCCAGTCTCTATGGGATTAAGAATGAAGACCTTGCAAACACCCAGAATCATGCAGGGGCTTTCTGAGGGTGTGTCTGTCTGTGTTCAGATCCAAGATGCTAAGATAGTTTTCCATGGTTCTACATGTGTGAATGCAGGTTCTGGAATTTCAAAATTCTTTGCTTTGATAAAACAGGTGTTACAGTGCTTGACTGACAGCCTGAAGGTTGATTCTTCAGGGGAAGAATCTTGATTAAAAATGCAAGATATGCTCATGTGATGTTATTTGTAGCATTCATAATAGTCTAGTCCAGAGCTTGTGTAGCCACAGATTTAAAAGCACTAGAAAGTTTTAAGGGCTTCTCTTTGGCACTGTGAACTAAGGCTTTTACTGACATTCACGTGTCCTTAGTCACTCATTGGCGTTTTGTGTTCTTATTTCTCTGGGAAAACTGCTGGAATCTCATTTCTGTGGAGCATTTCCATTCAGCAGAATGGCAACCATGTAATGCACACTGGTACAGTGCACCTAGGACAGGCAGCTGGGAAGGGTCATGTTTGCACTGTTTTCTCAAGCAATATCCTCGTAAGGGAATTTGCAAGAGAAAACTGGGTAGTTCACACAGGTGTGATACATTTTGCATCAAATGCTAATAGCATTCCCTTTCTAAGATTACAATTGAGTGAGATTTCCAACACTAAGGAACGATTTTTTGAGAGGCTTTTTGTTAGAGGAGGAGCCTTGTTTGTGCCCAGGTCTAGTCTGAGAGCTGTAAGCCTACCTCTTAGGGATATCAAATATACTATCTGGATATTCTCTGTCAGATTTTAGCAGTGTAAGCCAGAACTATTTTGCCAGTTTCATCTTGGCTGCTAGGCTAATTATTGTTATGTAAAAGGAAGATTGAGGCTCAGCAGTCAGAATTTCTTTTGGGCCACTGACACTTGCTGTAGGCTTGTATTGCTTAAAAGCCATCACAGATTGATTCTTCTTATATGTTAAGTCTATATTATATGTTTCTTACATGTTAAAGCTGAGTACAATTATTAAGAAAAAAACCTTAAAGAAATAAAAAGAAAATTTCAAAACCTTCCACATTTGAGTGAAACATGCCTTCCCTTGCTTTTGAATCCATGTCAGCAATCAATGGCTGTAGACTTAAGTTAGCTGCAACTGGTATCACTAGTTGCTGAGATCAGTCAGAATAGTTACAATTAGATGATCTGAGACACAGTTACAAATAGGGTAATAGAAATATTGGCCTATAACCCTGAGGGGGAAAAATGTGTTGTATTTTGACTTATTCTTTACTATGTGCCAGGATTTACAATATTACACCACAGTCAACATTAATAATAAAAGTCTGTCATCCCTTTTAAAGTAAGCAGACTGGAAGAGCTGAATGCAGGCCAGCAGATAGGCATTATTTGTTTCCTTCTGTGTGACTGTTTGAGGAATCTGAATTAATATTATGATTCTTACCCTATTTAAACTCAGATAAGTAGAGCTACACTAAGAGAGTACTACATGGACTTTCATCTGTTAATGAAAACATCTTTTTTGGTATCACAGATCTTGGAATTGAGATGTGAATAAAAATCCAGGATGAAAGTAAAAGCAAAAAAAAAAATATGTAAAAGCTACCAACACTTCAGACCTGAGCTCTGCAAGATGGCCTTAGAACCCTGATCAAAGGTACTGATTATAGTGCTAAAACTTAAAAATTTTATAATGAGGGGGATGAATATACTTGGACAGCCATAAAATAATGTAATGACTGTGTGCCATATTTCTGCACTTCTTACAGAACAGTCTTCATTTAATATATTGAAATGTTGTATTTTTAGATGACTTGATCACAATTTTATCATGTGAAAATTAATAATGAAAAATGCACATAAGCATAATGAACTGAAAAAATCATTAACTTATACTGTGGGTTTATTTTATTCTTGGTTCGAAACACTTGAAGACACACAGGTGAAAGAAAAGGAGGAAAAATCTTGGAGATATTAAAAAGAGAGAGAGTGGGGAGAGAGAGAGAGAAAACACAACCGCAAATAAATCAAAGATTATAAACTGCATATATTTAGCTGGGTGATCAAGAAAAGTATTAAAGTATATATATGCTCTCACACCCATACTAACACCCACTTTGTATGGTAATAAAGAGAACTGATTCAGTGCTCAGTGGGGTTAGAGAAAAGTTCTCATACCTATGACTTGGGATTGCATCTAGACCTTAAGCATCTCTTTTGCACTCATATAAACATAGATTTTGGTGGTTTGTTTTCAGAGGATGTTGTAAATGTGTATATTGGAATTTGAGTAAAGAAAACTTTTAAGATATGCGATTTGTATAGTTCAAAGAAATGGACTTCATGCAGTTAAAATGTTAGGCCAGGATCTTTCTGGTGTGTTTAAATCTTTAGAAACTTCTGAATCAATGATATCTTTATGAAGTTGTATCACAGTTTGTATTTGTCTTGAAAGGGTGTAGCAGCTACATGAGCAATTTAAGAAATGATCTTTTTGACAGGGCTTCTGGTTTTTGTAAAGAAATGGAAGTATGATATAGCTACTGTATTAAATCAATCCTTTGAATATTTTCTTTCTCTGGGGTAGTGCTTATCTGAGAGGGAAAAAATAAGTGGAGGAAAGAGGAAACCTTAGAAGCCAAGACACTAAATGGAAGATTTCTCTGCCAAAGTAGTAGCTGAATTAAGAAAATCTATGGATTTTTCTTGGCTGCTGCTGGCCACCAGCTGATCTGCTAGGATTGGCACCACTGCCACCCCAGAAAAAAAAAAGGGCTTAAGAATGAAAAGCAGATAGGAGGATACCACCCTGAAGAATTCCTGACTAAGAGGAAAAGGCAGTTAAGCAAGTCTTCACATGTTCTGAGGTGAGTCAAATGCTTTTGCTGCTCTGGAGTATAGCCTTAGTCCACCTTCATGTATCACATTACAAACAATTGAATAGACTTTAGTTGTTTTGCATTTTTAAGTATGTTGTTTAGCAACTAATTCCATCAAGAATGTTACCAGCTGAAGATTAAACAAGAAAACAGGACTCCTAGTTCTTCACTCAGCTTGTACCCTGATCAGGATGTGTTCACTTGCTCACTGAAGCTTCTAACATGAACTAGCTCAACTTGACACTGGAGTAAAGTGTGTTTCAAAACAGAGGTCCCATTTAGGAGGGTGATGGGAAGGATCATGACACTACTGTAAATCTCTCTGCAATTGCAATTGTCCTCTCAGCAGAAAGAAACAAAGACTGTATTGGGTATCCAAAAAGTCTTTAAAGTGATTCAGATTTTTTTTAACTGAAGATAAAACCCATGTGGGGGTTGTATGTCACAGGAGACAGAAGAATGTATCTGAATCAAGGGGATTTTAATTGTCAGATGCCTAAAAGAAAAAAATTTACTGAGCCTCTCAAAATTTGTTACTTTTACTATATAACATGTCAACATGATCACGTCAGCAATCTTTGATTTACAGGATAGGTCAAAGGTCAAGCAAGCTTTTGTTTGCTTGGGTGATATCTATGGCATAGCAAAGGCCCTGTGCAAGTACTGAATAGTGCATATTTTATGGGTTTTTTTAGTGGACTTTGTTCACACTGAACTCTATTACTAGGTTTCTGTATTTCTACTGGCTGGTTTGAAACTGTCCTGGGTATGTATAAACAAAATGTAATGCTATTTGGAAGGCAACATGGATGTTTTTCTAGAGGCCTTTGCTAGACAGCTGTTGAGGAATGGTAGGAAATATTTATAGCAGAAAATGCTTGATGTGAATAAACCTGTGTAAATTCCTAGTTTAGAGGAAAGTTCCCACACAACTCTGGGTATGCTCTTCTGCTTCCATTCTCCATCTGTAAAATCAAATGTCCTTGTCCGAGTCCTCTGTGTATTGTGAAGATAAGAGCTGCCAAAGGCTAAGGTGTGTATATATTCTTTTCTAAGGAAAGTAAATATATCAGTAATGAAAATATTTCTTTTGATATCAAGGCCTTACAAACATCTAAAGTGTCTTTAGAACTTCACCAATGGTGAATTAAAACCAGGGTGGCTCAGGAATGTAATAGGGAGCATTTCTGTATTGATTTTCTTTTCTAGGATGTGTTATACTTGTGTTAGAGTGAAGACAGCATGTCATTTGGTGTTATACTGTCCTTGTCACTTAATCATCATTTCATATCTATGTTAAGAAAAAGGAATCATTTTAAGGAGGAAGCAATTTCTTGGAACTTCCCAGGAAAAGGTCAGAGACAGGGAAAGTTGGTTGGTAACACTGGTATTAACAAATAGCTGTGAAAATGCTTAGTTTGCCATGAAAAAAATTAATTGCTGTGAAAGAGCAGCATATTAAAAAAATATAAGAATAACCATTCACAGGTTTTATTAAAGAACAAGTGTAATAAAACAAATAGCCTTATATTCTTGGGAAAAGAAGAATGTTTTTAATAAGAGGAGAATGCCCAGCAACTGCTAGCAAACATTTATTGGAGTTTTTTTCCACTGCAGTGCTTACAGTTGCAAGTAAACTTACTTAATTAATTTTCATTAGCATTTAAATTGCTGGTTTATGGTCATATGATCAGCCACCTAGATATACAAACATTACTTGTGCTCGTAATTAGCTGAATTTGGAACTATGCAGGAAAAGAATTCATACCTACCTACATTTCTGCTAAAAGCAGGCACAAAAATAGAAATTAAAAAACCACCAGTACTAACAAAACAAACAGAAAACCTCAACAAACACACACACACACACAAAATTCCCTGTTTAAGAAAGCAACTGGGGACCAATGATGGGTTTGGCTCTTTGATTTCTCCTTCCTTAAAGCACAAATATATTTAAAAATCTTCTTTCAAATTCCTATGGGCATCTTTTTTGAAAGCTAATCTTTAAAACTTATAACCCCTCTTTAAGTTTTGGGTCTATAGGTCTCAAGCAGAGGGAATATTCCTTTGATGCTAATTTTCATATATTAATTAAAGGTGTTTTTCAGGTTTAAAACTCTAATTGAATTACTGTTTCACTATTTTGTAATAGTGATAAGTTCTAGTAATCCTAAAAAAAAGTTTAAATGGCTATATTCAGAGAAGTAAAACCCACTCTATGTGTTCAGTTTTGATATCTAAGTCAATAAAAATTAAAGCCACTGAGCTGATGACAAATTCAGGACAATTACTGCAAAAACAGTACCAAAAGACTCTACAACTGTGGTTATCAATCAACCTAGAATCATGTTCCTAGTAAATAAAGGAGTCATTTGTGAGACTTTGCAGTTTAACATTAGCCCTATGGGATAGGGAGGCACTGGGCAATGAGATTTGTAGGAACATCTCTAATGAAAGGTAGGAAAAGACCTTTGCTATAGCAGGCTTCTGGGAATAAACTGAATACAAAACAACATGAAAAGTGAAAGTAAGGCAAGTGATATTACTGGGGTTAAGCAGCCTGTGCTGTTGTGAAGTGCTGTGTTATGGTGAAAGCCAGGTACTAAAGGCTGTGCAGGACCTAGTAAAATTAATGAATTTTTAAATCTATCTACTGTTATTTTTAAGTTCTGATTCAACAATTGCTATCTCAGAGCAAAACCCATATATTGTGGCTTATGTCTATTGAATACAGGATGGAAGGGATATCTGGAATTAGAGAAACAAATACTCTGCAATATATTTATTGTACTGTTGATAAAATTCACAGTATGGAAGCTTGCATTGTGTATTCTATAATTTTAGCTGTCTAGAAAACATAGCAAAGTTTGCTTTATTCTGTGTAAACTGGATATGTTTAGCCCTTGCTGAAGTTTTAATCCTTTACAAAATAAGGGACTCTTCAGAAGGGACCATTTTAACCCAGACCCAAGGGCAGGGGTACTACCCTACCTGAAAATGTCTTGTTCCAACTCATGAGTCCGTTGTTGGTCCTCCTGATTCTGCTTTTGCATTTCTTCTTGCTCTTTTGGAGTCATAGAACTTAGGCCATCCAAGAGCCATTTTTCTCGCAAAACCTTTTTCTGAAGGGGAAAAACAGACAAGTAAGCGAACCCTAAAGTTAGGGTGTTCAACCATTTACTGTATTTGTCTTGATGCCAGAGACCCAATCCACAGTCTTGTGCTCTATTTGGCATAAGACAACCTGATTAAATTGAATTTTGACTACTGCTGCTTTGAGGCAGAGCTGTGCCAGCTCTGGTAAAGAAGGCTGCATTGACCTCAGTGCTGCTTGCAGTGGCTGTTGGAATCCCTGCCTGCATCCTGTGTTGAGTCACTTAAACTGTTGCTTCCTACTCTTTTCTGTTTATTGTGTACTTTACATGAGGTTATTACTGAGGTCCAATTGGCAGAGGAACAGGTATGTTGGATCTGATTGCATTTAAAAGCAGTTTTGCAGTTGTTTGATGTGTGACATATATGATGTCATAGAAAGTATGTCTGGAACAGGCTTGTTGGGAAGTCTGTAGCACTTTGTGGTGCTTTTTTTTTTCATTTGTTTTTTTACCTGTGGGATGTAAGAGCAATGTTTACAGTTGCCTTAGTCCCTCAGGATAGTATTCTCTCTCTTTCCTTCTCTCTCTCTCAACACTGGATCCTAGGAAATCTGTGGGAAATAAGGGCTACTCCAGACAATCCTGAGCCTTGACTCTCTCTGTAGAATCACTTGGCAGCACTTCTTAGTAGTTGTGTCTTAGGCTCTAATTAAATAAATGCAGATTTTAATAGAATAGTTCTATGTGGTCTGGTAGATGTTGGCACAACTCCTATTGACCACAAAATACTGTGTTCTCAAGCTAGAGGGAACATAGTTATTAATTCCCTTTCAATTAAGCTATTTAGATTTTAATGATAAGTAGGGCTCCTAGAAAGTGAGATTTTGATCCTGGATGAAACTGAATTAGTCTAGCATTGATATCTCCAAAAATAAATCTATAGTTCCTTGTGAGATTTACAGCAGGGCTGCCACTGTAGACCTCAGAAACCGATAACATCTGTTGAAATCAACAAAAGCTTTGTGTATATATAGGGTTAGGCCCAAGAAAACAAACTCCCCAAATACAAGCATAATACAATAGTGTTATTTTTGCATTTTTCTAGAGTAGTTTGCTGCTGCTCCCAACTGAATGCCATGTAACCTTTTTCATTTAATTAGCCATTTTTAAAAGAATGACACATTGTGTATTTGGAAACAGCCTTTGAATAAAAGATGTTTTCAAGTCTGCTCCATCCAGGCAGTGGTACCAACGAGTGCAGGAGCAGCTGCTTTAGGGCTGCCAGGTTCTTTCTGCTGTCTGGCAAATCCTTCCATGGCAAAATGTCTCTATCTCAGTACTGGGTCATGCATGTGTTATAGCACTGACATAAAAGCATTTTCATTTTGCATTAGGCTCGGTATGTTAAGGGAAAGGGATACTTATACATTGTGATGTGGTAAGACTCTGGGAATGGCCAGAGTGCTGACCACTTAAATGAAAGGAATAATTTTATTTTTGTAGTTCATGGTCACATCGGGAGTAGTGCGACAATATTCTGCAAATTCTGTGAATAATTTACGATGTGTGCTCCAGGTATAACTCCACTGTAGTCCTTAACAGGGCTGGACTAGCACTGAAAGATTCATCCTCAAGGGCGTTTTGAGTTTGTGGGTCTTGCTCTCGCAGGGCTGTGCCAGTTCACCTTGTGGCATTTTTGGGAAGGCATAAGTCATTTTCAGTTTTTCACAGAAAATGTAGTTCAACACTGTTAACTGCTGGAACAAGAAAGTGTGTGACTAGCACCTACAGGGTAGCACTGATGGAGTTCAGGCATTGTCAGAAGCCAGAAACTTAATAAGCTAAACTATAAAAGCCCATGGAAAGTACATGCAAATCAGTGTTGACTGCATTTCAAGCAACTCTGTCTGGTCCTGCCTCAGTGAGAAGGATTCCAGGTAGAAGGAAGAATTAGTTGCTGGTGCATCTAGAATTACTTGATGAAATTTGCCCTATACCCTCACTAGCAGCCTCCATTGCCTCTTGCAGTTCTGTGCAGCCCTATCCACACAGATGTATTTGCTTGAATGCCCTCTACTTCATGTGGCAGAAGTGCACATGTAAGGGGTATATATTTCTTCTCCATTATAATTCTACCAGGTAACTAAGATCTGTTATGATGCCTCATCCCTGTCTTTCTAGTAAGAAGTTTGCTTGGGGATAGCGAACAGAGTCATTGGGAAGCCAGGACAGAGATTCCTACTTAAAAAAAGGAAGTTGTTTTTTTTTTTTAAAAAAAACCCACAACAAACAAAAACACTAAAAAAAAGCTCCAACCCCTCCCCCCAAACAAAACAACAGTCTTTTAATAAACCTGTTGCTAAGGGTTATAAATAGGAATGAAGGACAAAATGATGAACAGGACAGTGATATCCAGCTAACAGGAACATCCATATGACAGTGAGATTTACTAACCTAGGGGACAGGTGCGAGTTATGTTCAGTAGGTCATAGAGCTCTAGATTTCACTGTGAACAATTGGTAAGAGTGTAAATGAGTGAAATCAGTCACTAGGGAAATGATTCTTCTATAAAATTTACCAGAGTGTCCTAATGTTTTGAAAGTCTAAATATGTTTTAAAGCAATTTATGTACTAGATCCTTTCGTTGTTTTACTCCACTGAAATACCTAGATTAGTCTGAAGCATAAATGTTCATTAAAGGACAAAACCTCTAGGGCATCAAGCAGAGGATGTTCAGCAGTAATATTGCATTTGATATTGGGTGCCTGTCTTATTATTTAGTTGTAAAAAGTAACTTACATTTTGGGTGTTCCAAATAGCTAGTGATATGTATGTGTTTATACACCTTATACATATATATATATTTAAATGTATGCTTGATCATTCTTTGCCAAGTGAATAATTTTCTCTATGGATCTGTGATTCACTTTGTTTATGCAATACCACTGATTTTAATTTAAAAACTCTACTGAATGATTTTTCATGGGACAGGCAAAGGAATCATATCCTCTGTTCTCTTCCAAGGGAAAACTATTTCGGTAGCATTTTTCCAGGAGCATTTTAGCCTCTGTAAAAACTCCATAAAACTTCCTCAGAATAAGTGCAAGGTGGGTTTTTGCTTTCTTAACTTTTAAAGCTCCATTATACCTATTAATTTTGTCTACAAATGTACTAAATCTGTAAGGAAACTGCCCTAAGTCTCTGTCTGCACACAGCAGCAGTGAGGATTAGCTGGTTATCTAGAACAGATCAGTTTATCCTTCTATAAAGAAGGGCAAAAGAGTCATTCTGAATTTATGGACATGGAAACTTGAAACATAACTTTCAGTACTCCATGTAACCATGTACTAAGGTGAAGATAGTCACATGTTTGCTGCTCAATAGTTACAGGACTTGGAAAAGATATTCCTCTTCCTTTTACATAAGATGTTACACAGTTGGTCAAGCCTGTCCTTGGAGTAAAATAAAAATAAAACCTGAGCATGGGTGACTTTTGTGTTAGCTCTCCTGGCCCACTAGTGAACTAGTTTATCATAGTTTCTCATATTTTTTTTTGGTTTGACACAAAAGAAGAGAGTGGATGAAACCCAGGATCTGGTGTCTGTTTTGAAGAGGAGTCTGTTTTAAATATGCTCCTCTCACATTTCCTGGAGGAGATGTGCCACACTTCTGGTGTTAGATTCAACATATCTTCTTGAAACTGTTTATCTGCTCACATAATGAAAAGGGTATGTTAAATACCAAGACTTGCATATTTCTAGAAGCACAGATTTTGTCTTATCTCCCTACATGACATGTACTGCCAAACTGCAACAGACATTTAAGGAATAGTGGTGTTGGATAGAAATCACTGCAATTTCAAGTCTCTGCAGAGGTGCGTCTTTTAGTTTTTTAGTAACTTGGAATTTGTAATCCTGAGTTTACCAGGCCATATTTGAGGGAAATATTTGCATCGTTTATTCTTTTTCTTTTTTATAATATATAAAGAAGCAGCATTATTTTATTAAAGAGTCATTAAACAAACTGAAAAAAGCCTATAACCTGCCCCCAAAAAATAGGCTACTTTTTTTCTAGAAAACAGTGCAATTAGACTTAATGGTTGTGCTGCACCCTGTACCAAGTAAGGTTGCTGTAGTGGGATTAGGGAGTGAACACACCCAGTCTGACATGTGAGGCTTAATTTTCATCTGTGAGTTATTCCTGGTTATGATCTCATTTTATGCCATGAAAGTGATCAAATAACACCAGCTCTGGAATGTAATTTTTTTCAAAGAATGATGCTTATTAAAGTCAAATGGAGTCCTGGCAAGACTCCAAAAAGCTGTGAAAATTTGACAGTAAAAGCATGACTTAAATGCATGAAGATTTGCACTCCAAAATCCAAAACCTTTATTCATGCTGTGTTACTTGAGGCTATCTTTAGTTACATAAATCCAACACTTTACTTACCTTTAAATGTTGGTGCTTCATTTTTTCCTCTTCCACTTTTAGACGTTTCTGTGTAATTTCTTCTTGCAGTTTTCTTTTGTCCTATAAATTAAGAGAACAATAAAACTTTGTTTAGAGAAATTACTTGTTAACAAAAATATTGTTTAAGTGTTATTCAGTAGGGTGAAATCAATCCATGCAAATAAAGCCTTATTTTAAAGCTTAGGTGATGCTTAGGCAGTGCATAATTCTTTGTAGCAACAGCTCGTGTCCTGCGCAGGTATAGTTTCCACTGCTCTTTCTCCAAAGTATGTTTAAACATGTTAATGACCACAAAGGAGGGATGATACAAAATAGAAACTATTTACTTTTAGGAAGGGTAGGGGAAGAAAACAGGAAGAAAGTATATTTGAGCAGAATTGTACATGCAGAGTGAGACTAAAAATGGGACCTGACCCAAATTCCTAAGGCAGCCCACACATGGTTTAGGAGAGGAAAGAGCCTGCATGGTCTGCACTGTGCAGCTGTGATACATCACTAAATGAAATGGGCTGTCGGTGAATCCAGCACTGAGTTTGTGTATCTTGTGGCTAATAGCTGAAATAAACAGGAATAAATAAAGACTTAGAAATTTATTTTGTTAGTCAGGTAATGGTAAAGATGAACACAGAGAAATGTGGTATGCTTCATATATGTTGTTGCTACCTCTCAATTAAAGAAAAAATAAAATTTTTGCCTGTGCACAGGCTGTTTTCATGGTTGCTGAATTTTAAAAGGAAAAACCTCAAGTAGTGCTGATCTGTCATAGTGCCACCTTCATCCTTTTTGTTACAGGTTGTAGAACAAAGGAAATGGGTGAACAGTGTCTGAACACTGGCAATGCTTGAGCCTCTCGTGTCTTTGGAGAGCACTACCACATGGAGTACCCTTGTGGCTCCTCTGTATGAGGCCAAACGCTGATTTAGTACTTTGTGTCCTCAGCAGCCAGTGGGAAAGAAATCATGCCAAATGAAACTAACTTTTATAAGATGTATTAATAGGCTATTCTCTTGGCCAGCCTTAATGCTGTAAAATTCTGTTGTTTGGCACAGCACATTTTGCACTTTTTTCTTGGTATGTTTTAGAGAAGTAAATGGAATCTTCTGTTGTTCTGTGCAGAATTGTTTGCTGACTGGAGGCTAATGCCTCTTTCCTTTCAATTAGAACAGCTGGATTTTGTTAAAAAACTGATAGCTTTTGTTTAACAGTCTGTTTTCAGACAAATATGGTTTTGGAAGGAGTTAAGTTCTTCACAAACATAGGAAGAGACTTGTCCTTCCAGTCCACCTGAGGAACCACCTGTGTGTAAGGAGTGTAGAAAGTCAGTAAGGAAGTGCTGGACGTAAGGTTGGGAGTTGTTCTCCACCATTTCCCTAGGATCTGGGATTTGGAAACAGGAAGAGACATGGTGTGCTTGGCTGAATCACTTTGCTGTTACTGGAAATTAGAAATCAGCAGCATGACCACAGGCTCTAAGGATGCTTTGTTGAAGGACAGGAAGTGAAAGAAACCACCTAGCCTTGTGGGGATGGAGGGCAGGACTACAGGTGGCCAAGCACTACTCATAGTATGCTGGGATTTAGTAGGTGAACGAGTGTCAAGAGCTTTGTTTACAGATTGTTACAATTCTTAAGGAAACATTTTTTTTTTTCCTCTTTACTAAGTTTCTAGGTAAGACTCTTAACCAGAAAATGAACTTTTACTTGGTTTATACTATTAAAAAATATTCTAAGTTAATTTAAATAGTCTTTTTGTACCAGTGGAGATGTAATAAGAGTTTTGGAGTCTGAAATGAGAATTTGTACACAAACTACTGTGCAGATAGAAATCAGAGTGTAAAGGCATAAATAACTGCATTTTAAACTAACTGTGTAATAAGGAACTTATTCAGTAGCAAAACTTTTGCCTGTTTCTTTTTTTTAAGTCTGTTTCTTTTACATCCAATATTTTTTTTCTGAAAGCTTTCTACTTGTACCCTTTGGTGTTCTAGCATGTTTTAATTTCACTGGTTGGTATTAAATATCTATTATACAATTATCTAGAAATTGAAATAGATTGCCTTTTATATATCTAGTCTATATCTTTATATATTCTAATCTAATGCCAGAAGCTAGGAAGTATGAGGAATCTATCTGACGTTGTGCACCAGAATAACTTTTAAAACTTGTTAGAAAACTTGTCTGCACACCATGTCTTGCTTTACAAAGCTTTGACTATACTATACCTATCTAGTAGAATAAATGTTTATTCCTGGATAGCTAAGTGATCCATGCTTCTACCAAACTTCATGCTCTGCCCCTGTAGATAATCATGTTTCTGGCAGAAATCCTTGAATCGTCTCTTACTATGCTCTTGTTACTGTGAGCAGGATGTGAAACACCTTCAGCTGTTCCTTTCTCTTGTGCATCAATGCAAGGTAAGACTTGAGCCTTGGTCCTAATTTTCACTACTACTGAAACAGGTGGGAATCTTTCCTGACTTTTGAGAGTAAAAATGAATTGTGTTCTAAAGTGGATCTGTCTGAAAGAAAGGGAAACGCATCCATGGAGCAGCATCTTGTGAAGTGTCTCGTGTGCCAAGTCCATTAGTTTGTGGCACTGTTCTACAATGGTGCCAGTGCTGGTGGTCTTGGTCCCATGGCAAATGCCACCTATTGTCAGTCAAAGGAGCAGCTAATGTTTTAGCTAATATATTTTTCTTTTCATGTAATTTTCCAGAGATTAAAAATATCAAACCCCATCAAACATTAAAAATATTGCAGCTTTCATATTTTAAGATATTACAATCTCACTGATAAAATGGATGCATCTGATGTTTTACTTTTTATATTCTATGTGCACCAGCAGCAGGTGGAAGCTACATAACAAAGAAAAAAAGTTTCTTTTTCAGAGCCATGTGAGCATCAAAATATATAATCATAAAGTAATACTTTTTTTAATTTATTTGCTACGTAGAGAAGATATGAAAAACAATTTGAAAGCCCCTACTGGCTCTGTGAGAGCCAGATGCTGTCAAGGAGCCAGGCATTTAACAACAGAAACCAGTCAGGTTTAGTGCAGGTGCAGTTGTTTATTGCTTTGAGTGCCCCTTGCTTTCTTCTCTTAGATCCTTTACAGCAAACATCTGGTGGGTAGCACTGGAAATTCCCAGGCATGTTACTTGAGACTTCCCAGAGCCACTGAGTAACTTGCAATTGTAACTGTAATGTGCTGTTTTCCTAGACAACTCATACTGCAGATTCTTAAGCCTGAAGATAACCTCACTTATTTGGGCTACTTTATTTCTGCAGTCCATTAGAACAAATACATCAAGTGTTTCAACTAAATGCTATTGACTAATGAAAGCAGAGAACAAATAGTTTCTTTACACAGCAAGTGTAATAAATGAAGTCATGGCCTAAATATGATTTCCTATTTCTTGTAATGCAAGACACTGGAAGCTGCCCCAGTTTCTTAAAAAAATACTTCTTCATTATTCATCTGGAGGCACAGGTGCAGGTGGAGGACACTCACTCCAGCATGTTCATAGAGTCCTCGTCAGGCAAACGTGCTGCCCATTCTTTCTCCTGGATCCCAGGGAGTCTAAAACATCACAAGGCCTGGACTTCTCTGGAGTGCCAAAACAGTTGTTATCTTTTGAGCCCATACTCCAGAGACAAAGTCCAGGTTCTGACCCTGGTTCAAGCACCGTTACAGTTAAACAAATCAATGTACTCTAAACCCTCTAAAACATTTCAAATTACCCTATTGCGGGCTTGCGTCAGGTCTCAAGTAATTACGATAAATGGATCTGTTGGCTTTTATCAAGTGCCACAATTAAAACTCAACCAACTTAAACCCCAACCTATTAGATGCCTGTAGATTTCCGGCTACCCTTCTCACATTTATTTCGATTCCAATGAGATTTTTTTTTAACTCTGCCCACTATTTATTCTGCCAGTAGCATTTGTTTCGCAACTAGTCTGTCATGCTAAGAGTGTGAAAAATATCTCTGTTTCCATCATTTGTTTTTAAACAAATGCCTGAGAGAGTGAGTGATCCTTCTGGAGGTTTTCTTTCATCCCATAGGGCCAAAATTTGCTTCAGTTCAATTCTTTTGTAACTGAATAAGTTTCAGTGGAGATCAAATCAGAGGTGAATTAGGATTCAGCCAGTTTTTGTTACATCAGGTTATAATACTTTAAAAATAGCTCAGTAGTTCCTTTTACAAATTATAAATCTTTTGACTCAGATTTCCCTTTAGAAGAGAAACTGGAAATGATTTCTAATGTCTTCTGCATAAACTTCAGTGAGTCCTTCCTCTGAAAACTGACAGGTAGGAATTTGTTTAGTCCAGGCTTGTCCTTTTTTACTGTCCAGGCAGCGATACTTATGATAGATTGTCAATAATTCAGATATTAAATTTAATTCCAGAATACAAACCAAAAATCTTTAATCTCTCAGTCATGTTGTGAAATGAGAAAATTGATTTGTTCTGGAATTCTCTAGCTGCCTTTTGACCTTCAGGCAAACATTCAGTATGATGATAGTAACGTGTATTTTAGACTGTCCAGTAGTGATTTGCACACATAGTTTCAGTGCTTTGAATTTAATTTGAAAGTGCAATACAACCCATAATAAAGTGAGTACAGGCAACTTAGCTGTTTTAAAGCGATAGTCTATAAACCAGTATTTAAAAATAACAATTTCAAGCAGACATAAAATCTCTTTCTGTCCTGGGATAAATCATTATTCAGCAAACACACAGCAGCTCATTAAGACAATGCTACTTCTAAGCCTTTTTTTTCTAGTAGCAAGTTATAATCATAAGCACTTACTGTTATGGCCTGGAATCTTTCTTTCAGCAATTCGGCTTCCTCCATTCTACAAATCAAAAACAGACAAGTAGTGAAGGTAAATAGAATCAGACCATAAGCAAAAAGCCTCCTGGTGGGGCTGCAAAAAAAGCTGAGGTGATTTGATCCAATTCCAGAGGAGAGAGAAGGCAGAATTTTTGACTTGTCAGGAGAGTCCCTGAACAGATGAGCAGATCAGTCCAGACAGACACATGTAATGAGGGTGTGGAGAGGAGGCAGACAAGGAGAGTGCTGGCATGAGTTGACTGACAAGTTGGAACAGTGGAGCACAAGCCCTTTTCCTTCAGAAGCTGCCAACTCTTTGTTTTAATGTGCTCGGTTAGCGTGCCATTGCTTCTTTAACTCTTAAATGCCCAAACCAGAATCTTACAGGACCATGATAGAAGTAAACTTTTATTATTTTGTTATTTCTCTTTCTTTTCTTTTCTTTCTCTATGCTTCTGGTGATAAACAGATATTTAAAACTTATTAAGTATTCCCATTTCTCATTAAACTTATTTTACCTGCATGTGTTTTAACATGTAATATTAGCACTGTAGATGGCATGGGTTTTTTTGAGATAGTAGTTTTAATTCAGTTTCCTAGATAAAATTTTTAGAAAGGCTGTATTCATAGCTGGAAGAATGTTTTAGAACTGCTAACCTAAAGTAAGATGAACTTTAAACAGTCAGGTCTGTCATTGAATGCTAGTGTTAATCTGTGCAATTACTGATCAGCTATCTGGGACTCAGGGGAAGCTTTGTCTAAGTAAGGATTTTGGGATCATCATTTCAGTGTTACCAAGATGAGTGTAAAATGCCAGTGGCTCTCATGCTGCATTTCCATTCAGCTGACTTGCTGTGGACTTCTGCTGAAAACAGCACTATGTGCCTTAAGGGATGGCATACATTTTGACCTTTTCATTTACCTAAGTGAGAGTCAGCCATACAAAATCAATCTAGGAAACTTGCAGAACAAGTGGAACTGCCCTAGGAAAATCCAGTTGTGGAAAAAAATTCTAAGCAAATCAAACAGCATAAAGATGTAATGTGAATCTGGAATCTCTTTGTTACCTTCAGTATCATGTAACTCAAGTCTTCGTAAGGACACCAGCAGGAGAGCCGCTCAGCATGTTTGGGTTTTTACCTGATAATTCATTGAGATGACTAAACTCAGCAGGATTTGGTGAGGTGGTTTATTTTACAGGTCAGTACAGTGACCTGAATCTTGGTGGCAAATCAGGCTCATTACTAGCAAATTCTAAGGTGCTAAAGAATTGCACACTTGATGGTGAAGTTACAGCCTTATAATTAAATAGAAATCAATATTTAGTTCAATTTCACCTTTCTAGTATGTCATCACTCACCCATGTACACGAGCAGATTATCCCCCTCTGCACTGGGATTAAGGATGCTTTAATGTTTTATTTATACTGTGATCCACCCTGAGGTTTTGTTCAAACTTGCAGAGACCCTATGTTTTATTCTCCAGTGAAGATTTTATTTCTGTTTTTTAAATATTAATTTATACCTCATTTGGTCAGCACCTGAAATTTAAAATATTACCACATAAAAGCAAATGTGAAGTTCAAAGGCAAGTGCATTGAGGTGTATCAAGAGATTACATGGGAATTTATATGAGTTTGGTGTATGGATTTGAGAATGAATTCAAACACCACGTGGAATTAAATGAATTCTTGCTGCAGAAACCAATGGAGAGACAGTCTTTCTCTTTAAGCTTTTGTAAGTTAGTATAGTCTGCCTTATCATATTTTGAACCTTCCCCCCATTTATTTCATCTTTACCTTCTGTGAAGTTCATCTTAAAATTTAAGTACATATGTGGACTTTGGAATGCTTAAAAATATTTAAAGCAGCAAATGTTTACATCAGAAATAAGGAAGTCTGGTTTGGGCCAGAATTTGTACTCTGACATAAATGGGATCTATTCTCAGTGGGTGGAGGAATGAGATCTGTATTTCAAGATCAAACTAAAGTCAATGGGATTGCATTGCTTGGAATTTTTATGGTCTAAAGTATTCTCCTAAATTTATGCCTTAAAATTATTTAAATGTTTTAAAGAACCCTACTTGTGGATGTTATATAGTTACAGACCAGAAGAGTATTTAACATGTCTTTCTCTAATCTAAACCAGTAGACTGAGGTAGCTGGAAGGAGTTTTCTAAAATGTTGCTTCCCTTTTCAAGTGACCATTATTAAGAGAGTATTTAAAAGCCACTTGAAACATTTTAAATTGTTTAAATCATATATATCCCCTTGCTAGGCAGGATTTGTTGTTCAATCAATAGGTTGTTTTCCAGTTATCTTAATCCTATTCTAACTGGGATTTATGTGCAAGAGAAGGAATGGACCAGCTGTCATTTTGTCTGCTCTTAAGCCTCCTTCACCAATAGGAGTACCCATGGAATAAAGGTTAGATCAGTGAATCCAAACAGCTGTGTTTTCAGTCTGCAGGATTCTTGGAACAAGGTTTTTCAGAACTTGCCTGCCAGAAACATATCCAGAGGAAACCACCTAATCTGCAACTTTAAGGGGGGGGGAGGGGGAAGCGTATTTTTATTTTGGTAGAATAGGTTCTCTGAGTTATGCAGAAAATGTTTTTGTATCGTATGGTGAGTCATACAGGTTGGATTTTTTTGCTTCACTTATTCCTTTGTTCATTTCCATTTTGCACTGTGTACCTAATGTAGCAGTAATAATGAAAATCCAAAGCACAAGGTGAAAGAGTTGCATTTTGAATTCTTACAGAAAAGTAGGTTGTAATTTAGAAGAATGCAACATCCAGAACCAAAATCTGGAAGTAGGACCACAGAAGTACTTTCACATCTGAAAATGCAATTTCTGTTGTCCATTTCTGGAGCAATGTCTGAGTACTGGAATAGAGAAATGCTGTCACTTCAGAACTGTAGCAGCTCTCCCTGGCCTTACTCTACATACAAAACCATCTTCAGTTCTACTCTTCCTCCTTGTACATCATTAACCTGGGGTAATACGCATAGAGTGAGATATAGATTATTGTAGAAACAAAAAATTGCCTCTGAGAAGAAACATTGTGTTAAAGGTAAGGAGCAAGTCACTCTTTCGAAAAGTGAGTTTGAAGTGACTGGAGTTGATCAGATTGTTATCAGCTGAAAACATAGCCTGTACTTTTTGGAAAGAGTGGTTACTGAGTTCATGAACCAACATTTTGTGAATCTTAACTACTTTGATTATTTTGCTTTGTGATGAGCTGCCTTTGGTAACTGTGTTTGAAACAGGAAAAGGGTGTTTTGGACTCGGCATCAAAGAGAATTTTATATTCTTGCAGTGAGCAAATGTGCTGCCACTATGCATTTGTTTGCATGTAGCCTTAAATCCCTGACAGCAGGAATGGAGAGAAGATAAATTTCAGTGAAGGGCTCATTGAAAATGTTTACTGCAGCCGTCCTGTCAATTGACCCAAAGGTCTGGTATGGGAGATGCCTCAGTCGATTGGTCTTTTCTCCAGCTAGAACCATGATTTTGCCTTTTAAAGTGAAGAATAAGCCAGTAAGAAATAGAAAATTGAAAATCTACAAGAAGGCTCTTGTCCCTCCATCAAATTATACACTTGAAATTTTTAAAAAATGTGTACGTTTTAGGATCTTAGAGGAAGTTCATAACAAAACATCTGCCACCCCTCAGGAGGAATTAAATTTTGCCCTGAAGGCCAATTTTGGGGAAGTAATGCCCTATTAGGCAGGTCTCTAACATAATGAATTTCTTGGGTGCTCTCACTGAAGCAAAATGATATCTGAATATCTCAATTTTATACAGTTTTATGAAGTTAAATTCTATCTCCTTTACTTGTTTGAGTAGACACCTCCCCTGAATCTCTGGGAGGAAAAGCCTTGAACTATTACGTTTCTGTTGGTACAACTCCCTTCCTGTTGCTATTCATAACTATGAATATATTAAATCATTACAGTCAAAGTAAAGAAACAGCTATTGGTCATTATCTTCAATTGTTTTTAATACACTAATTATTTTAATCATATTTTATAATACGTCTATTGTTCAGATACCTTCCAATATTATAGAGAGGTTTTAGAATGCAGCACGGGCTCAGACAATTCTTCTATGGTAGATGTGTGTCTTATATGCACAGTGGAACTCACCCATAAATGCTATTGTGCGAAATTAGACCATCTTGCCCCTATTTTCTAAAATTACACAGTGAACTTTGTCAAAGTCCACTGATTATTTTTTTAACCAGATAACTGTGTTTTTCATAGCCTTTTTGATGTTCCCAGGCACTTGTTAGTTCTTGGCCTCATATCTTTTTGAAATCTTTTATGAAACTCTGAATGTGGGACCCTTTCCAAAGCACTTTTAACAAACTCGGTTGTGTCACACTTAAAAAACCACACTTCAGTGAATAGTTTCAGTGTAATTACTGTGGTGATAATAAATGTAAGGCCCTGAACAGAAAGTGTTTGGGTACCTAGATAAGTGATAGGACTGTGTTTGTTTTGTGGGGGTTTTTTTGGTTGGTTTTTTAAAATGTAAACTGAAATAAATAAACCCACAAAGAATCTGAAATAGTCAGGATCGGTGCCTTAAACATGATGTGGAATGCGTTGCTTGCAACCTGGCATTTTCCAACTGCTGCAGATACACACTTCTAAGAATAGGGCAGAGTTTTAAATCCTACCCAGCCAACTGTGTGCGGAATGTTTAGCAGGGCTCTGAGAACCAGCTTTAGTTGTTGCGTAGTTTGATTGTGTTTTATTAAGTGAAAACAAACACTCCATAACCAGGGCCAAATCCTGGGGAAAGTAAAAAAAAAAAAAAACCACAGGTACTGTGCTGTCAATAGTAAGTAAACTACATGTTATATTCTGATTCTGGTTTCACGATGCTGTTGGAAAACACGAAGAGAACAGTAGTGGTGCTTGGGTCTAAGAGGCTTCAGTAAGATGGCAGAGCAAAACTAGGGCCTGGAAGACATATTTTTGTGAACACTTTGTGCCAGGTGTGGTTTTCGAGTA